CGACGTTGCGTCGTCTGTTTACAAACGGCTCTGCTCCTTGCCAGCAAGTTCGTGTCCTAAGTCTTTTGTTTTGCTTGAATTTTTGTTTTGCTTTCAATCGGTTTTAGATTCGCTCTGCAAGGCAAGCCAGCGAGCTAGCCAGCCAGCCAAGCAAGCAGGCAGGCGCGCTTTTATCGAAGAGATACATATTTATGCTCAATTTTATTTTTTATTTTTTCTTACATTTTTTTTTTGCCTCGCTTAGAATTTTTGCGTTGCACTTAAACGTTGCGAATTTTTGTTGACTGCCTCATAAGTTTGTTGTCGTCGTCGTCGTCGTTGTTGTTGTTGTTGCTTTTTGGCTTTGTCGTGGGCTTGGCACACGCTCAGCCTCGGTTAATGTTCGGCCCAAGAATGTCTTGTATTGCCAACTTTGCGACAGGTTTGCGGTTTTCTGTGCGCTGTTGGTCTTTGCCAGCAACTCGTTGTTGTTGTTATTGTTGTTGCTGCTGCTTCTAACGCTGCTGCTACCTTTTGGCCATTGCTGCACACTCTTCTGGACTTCTTGCCATGCAATTTGCGCGTTTGGCGTGAACAGCAAAATATCGGCTACTGTTTGCATTTGTACAAATGTTATGAGAAATTCATTGGTCCCCCTCCTCCTGCCACACTCCTTTCCCTTAGCACTCTCGCTTCGTTTGTGGCACGTTGTGGCAGCGTAGGAGTCAGCGCTATTGGTTCATTGAACTGTCGGCTGAGACTTATGGCTAGGATATGGCAGAGGTTTGGCAAATTAGTCACAGTCAGAGTCAGAGTCGCAATCACAGTCACAGCCACAGCCACAGCGAGGGAATCTGGCCAGACGAGTGCTGGCCTGAGACCTTTTGACAAAAAGGCAATGAAACGACCTTGTCATGTGTACACACATACATGCGCATGCAAAAATACCAATAAATGTGTGTGTTTGTGTTTGTATGTGTGTTGCTTTTGTTTAGCTTTCGCAATCATGGGGTTGCTATGTTTCCGCCATTGAATGTGTATTGTCTTCACAATTTATTTTGGAATTTATTACAATACTACCTTTGGCTTCTAGATTCTCCCCTTGCCCCCCGTCCCCAACGCTTAGTTTAGTTTAGTGTGCCATTGTTCTGCCTATCGTCGGCGCGGCTCTTCTTGCCATCTTTTAACAATAAAGAGCGAGAATTTTTTCTGTTTTTTTTTTCATATTTTCCTTTTTTTTTTTTGGTTGCTTTAAGCCGCAACCAGTTGGTGCTGCCGCTTCGGTATGTGCAGCCTGCGTGTGCGCTCCTGCCAATGCCCGCTTACCACTTGACCACGACCAACTGGGCAACTGGTTGCGGGTTGGCCAAAAGCATGCGCCAAAGAATTTAACCAACGATTTTTGGAATGCTTCAATGTACCAAGTGCGCTCACACAAAAATACAACAACAATAATAATAACAACAACAGCAACCTTTAAGAGCAAAGTGGCGCGGAGGCTGTCGGTCGGTGGCAACCGCGCAACTTTGTTGAAACTTCCAGAGGGCTGCGTCCTGGGTCTGGATTATACACACATAAGTAAGTTGCCAGTTTAGAGATACAACACATTTTTCGATGGGCAAGCAACAGTTTTGAGCAGAAAGCTAGCCCCATCGCTTGAACATAGTAGTTAAGGCCTCTTCTGACGATGATCTATTCTAATTCACGGTAATTGAAACTCCTAATTTGCATTTTTAACTCGAAATATTTAAGTTCGACAAACCAAATGTGAGCGCAACGGAGCTCGATAATTATATTAGTCAACAAAGCTGGTTTTAGGTTAATTTCTGTTTATTTGTAATCGATTCTTCGCCTCTGACTAAGAGAAAAACGAACCCAAGCACAGTTTGTAACTTAACTGCCCAAGATAACACTTTTTTAACTCAAATATTCTAATAATCACAACTCAATGTCTGACCTAAATATTTCGGAGAATTAAAAAATCTATTATTGAATTGTGCGGCCCAGCTTTCAGCTCACCATTTAATTATTTATAAAGACGTTAAAGTCAGCAACAGCGTGATTAATTTACTGAGAAGTTTGGAAAAGATTTGCTGAATATATGAATTAAGCTTGTGCTGGATTTGTTATGTTCATACTTTCATAATAATGTGATATTCCAACAAAATATGAGGAGACTTTTTAGAAATCTTATCATATTTTCGTATTATAAACAGCATTTATGAATTTTCTGACTGACTGCTTTGTGCTTAGCCCACAGTCTAAACGGTGAGAGCTAAGAAATTGATATTTGGACTCTAGTTCGCTTTCACAGTGTAGGAAGCAGTTTTGGAATGTTCAAACATCAAAGGAGGAAATGGGCTCAAAAATTTGAAAAATAAAAAATCCAACAAACTTATACAAAGTACTACATCTAATACATATTTAAATAGAAACTAGATTGAATTAAATTTAGTACAGCAGTAATAAACAAATTCCCATATTTCCATAAGTACAAGCTTGCCTTTTAATGTTTGCTAACCAATTGTTATGAGCTGTCCAAATGTTTTTTACCTCGCTTATAGTTTAGTTAGTTAGTTTTCCTACCAAAGTGAATTCAATTTGTATAAGTGGTCTAAGTATTGGTATTGCTCAATATATGTATTATAGTCCGATTTAGTTAGAATGTTGAGACATTTGATAAAACCCATCTCAAATTTATTTCAGATAGATTAGAAATTAAGAGATTATGGCAAAATTGAGCAATCATTCCAATGATATACTTATGATATTCAGCCTACCCTATCTGGTTTCAACATATTGCCTGCTTACAGTAATAAGAAGTAACGTCAATAATTAAGCTTAATCTTTGAAGCTATCAAAGTCGTTAGACTAGTGTGCATAGAATGTCGTCTTAATCATTTATGTTTTGGCTCAGAATATTAGCAGTCACCACTTTAATATACACCTAATTCTTTTTTACACGGTAGATTGGTTACAGAAACAACCGTGTAAAAAAGATATTGATATTGCAAAATAGGGGATTGGTTCCATATCTCTAAAAAAATACATAAAATGAAATTTTTAATTTTCAAACCCTGTTTTATCATAATCGTGTTAAAAAAGACCTAATTCCTAAAAGTCGTGCAAAAAAACCGTGTAAAAAAGACATTGATAATATGCAAAATGAATCGTGCTAAATGGAATAAAGTCGTGTAACCACATATAAAATTTGTAATTTTTGAAACCGTGTTAAACAAAACCATGCAAATAAAGACCGTGTAAAAACCGAATTAGGTGTATTGGTGTTTTCTTTTTTTAAATAAAATAAGGAAGTCTTTAACGATCAAAATCTGATGAAAATGAGTATACTCTATATAGGAATGATTAGAGTATCTCAATTGAACAACTAACTGACCAAAATAATGATTAGAGTAAATCATTAATCAGTCAACATATTTATTTTCTAAAATCATAATTTATATAGAAACATGCTCGTCTTAGAGGCTACATTTGTAGAAAAAATATGTGAGTAAATAAAAGTAAAACTGTTGGTGAAATGTAAAATGATTTTTTAACATAACTCTAATTATGCATTATTATAAAAAGACTTTGAGTAAAAAGTGTGATTTTTTTCAGATTAGAAAAATGTTGCAACGTAAAACGAATTACCTGTTCTCTAGTGTTTCTTTTTGTTCTTGTTGCAAGTGAAGTGCACAAGTGAAGGCAACATTGTTGTCAGGAATTTTTCGCTGCTACATTCAGCCGAGTGGACAAATGCATTTGCCAGCCGCTGCAACATCTGTCGCATTGCGGCGGCGCCAAATTAAATGGCATTAACTCTAATGAATTGCTTTAACCACAATCCACACACACACACACACACATAGAATTGTCCCAAATCAAAGTCTTCAAATCTCATTATCACTGTGGTCCATAAAGGGAGTTTTAAAAAATCATCAGGCAAGGACGTGATGCTTGTTGTGACAGCTGAAACGGTGCCGGTGAAGCGTCCTTGCCTGGCAGGGATTTTTGGTATTGTTAGGAGCACGGCATGGACCATAAATCAATGCTAACCACAACAACAATGAGGTAGAGAACATTACGCAGAGGAAGCGATGAAACTGAGCAGGGAGGGCAAAAGGTGAGCTGAACTCAGAGCAGGTAGCTGCGACACACGACATAAAATTCCACACACACACACACACACAAAAGCCCCAAAACAAGAAAAAAAAAGATAAAAATAAAAAACGGTGCGTTCCGTTTCAATGAAACTGTTTTATGCATGCACGCTTGTAGTTGTTGGCGTTGTTGTTGCTGGTTTTGTTTTTGTTGAAAAACTCAATCAGGGGAGCGATTGTGTGGAGTTGGAGTTGCATTCTCTGCATACCAAAGTGGCATTTGTCAGTGTTTGATTGATAATTTCGTTACGCGTTGAATATGTCCCACAAAAACAAGAAACAAAAATTCATTTTGATTACTTTTGGGTCGCTGCTCAGATTTATGACATGTCCCACGGATCGTGAGTGGTTATGAGGCAGGGGGCACGGCATTAGTCTATTGTTATAGCCGCATTGCAATTAGTCAGTTGATTGGTTTTGACAGCCATGCCGGGCATGACTAACAACCGCCCGCATTCTCATTTCATGGAGCAACACACCATCTGGCCCGAGGCGAGCTTAATAGGTCAAGTCTCAGGCTACCTTTTCGCTTAATAATAATAGCAAACTAGTTTCAAATTATATGTATATAGTTTAAATATTAGATAGATATTTATTTAAAATTTGTAAATTTGTTAAATATTTAATTGTTTATGAGTAATCATAAGAAGATAATTGGCATATACGTACCTATGTAAGTATGTTCATATAATGTACTATATCTCTACTAATCGCACATTTAAAATGTTCTCAATTATACTTTTTGATTGGGCAAAACTTTCAGCTACTACTAATTAGCCTAAGGTGAGTTCAAACAGACACACTTTTCAAGATTGCTTGTGTGAACTCAGATTGGGCAGCATTAAGATTAAAATCTATTGATTTATACTTTATATATCTATTGGATAAACTGCACTGACATTACTGTAAACTACTTCAAAATTTGGGGCAAGAAACACTGTGCTTGGCGCGCACTAAATATTGTAATGCCAAAAAAAATTTGCATATTTAAGTTAAAATTTGTTTAAGTTTTAAATATCGCGTACGTTGTAAACTCCTGAACGTTAGCATCACGCTAGATTTTGAATGGTTCGTCATATCCGTCCTTTTTTCCATTGACGTCTCTCAGCAATTTCGGCAGATTCCGGGAACTTAGACTTCAAGTTTCAGTTTCCCGTATTTCCGAAACTTGCTGAAAAACTCATCTCATTCCTTCACACCCACATAGGTTGTAGTTTTTCCAGTCTTGCGCAATTGTTCCAACAGTTCATCAGACGATAAGTTCGATGTGACACTCACTGTCCTGTCATCCAGATTGATATTGACTTTCTCAACCTTATCTGTAAGAATGGTTTGTACAAAGCAAACAAAGCAAAGCAAACATTAGTTTGGCATTGGCAAAACAAATGTGGCGGCTGATAAGCGTCAGTCGGCAGCGTTCTGTCTACGCTTGTATTAAAAAGTGAAGCCCCATAATACGAGCACCACCACCAACCCCCGCCTGCCATTTATCATACGCACCGCCTAATTTCCCCAAAACACGCTCCACGGCACTGGCGCAGCCACCGCAGGTCATTTCCACTTTAAACTCGTGCACCTTCGGGGGAGTGGAGAAGAACAGAAAGAACGGTATTTATTATTTATGCTTACCCATTTTAAATTTGTTCTAATTAGACTGCATGTTTGTATATACACGTATACATGCATACATACTCACAATGATATGTGTGTACTTACAGGCATTCTGATAGAACTACTGGTGGGACGGCTCGACTCGGCCGTCGTGTGCTTATAGACTTCTGGTAGATTAAACAGCTTGACGGTTAACGCTGGCGTTCACTTATATATATGTATGAGCAGACGTGGCTAACACCTTCACAAAATCTGTTGCTTTTAACAGAACAGTTACAAATGAAATTGTTGTCAAATGAATGCGATTCTTCTTCTTATTAATTTCACCATTCAGTTCATTCATGAGGAAAACACACATAGAGCTGCCAACCTACTCGTATTAGAAGTAATTCTTTGCCGCTGTTGGTTTGGCGCTAATTTTAATTTTTTTAAAAGTCCGTCACATCAGGTCTACATACGTCTAATATAAAAGACACTCTACCGACAACAAATCTGTGTAATAGTAAAGTATGTAAATGAATAAAAACAAAGTTTAATGACGCCTTTAATTAAAAATTTCCATTATTTTTTAATTTTCCAATCAAGTAATTAGCTCTAAAAGTATTGTGTTTGTATTCTCGTGGTGGCTGCTTAGGCCTACACGTGCTTTGGACAGGCTCCAAACCTATAAACGACCTGGTGATCATACAATTCTCCGGGGTTTAGAATAATTGTTGGAAAATCTGGATTGTTCATCGAGTCGGGATACTTTTGCGTCTCCAAACAGAAAGATCCATGGCGTACATAGTGTGCGCCATCCTTGCCCAGAATTGGCACATCGCCACGTTCCTCATCAGGAAGATTGTTCGACGTGTAGAACTGGACACCTGGCTGATTGGTATGAATCTCCATATAGCGTCCGCTGCATGGATGGACGGCTCGTGCCACCAATTGTACACGGTTGGGCGGCACATCCACGCAGTAGTTGTTATCGAAACCACTTATGGGACAGTTGTAGACTTGTGTGATACGCTTGCCTAGATTTGACATATTGGTGAAGTCGTAAGGCGTGTTACGCACGCTCATCAGCTTGCCGGTGGGTATTTGGTCCAGGTCAGTGTCGACTAACTTGTGGGCTTTTATCATCAGCATATGTTGAAAGAGCGTATCCTTGCCGGTGCCATGACCGGCCAAATTAAAATAGGCATGATTGGTCACGTTAATGCAAGTCGTCGCCTTAGTGCGTGCCTCGATGCGCATGCCAAAGCAGCCCATTTCGTTTAGGGAAAAGTTGATGTTGGTGGTCACCTCGCCAGGATAACCCTCGTGGCCATCTGGCGAGATGTGCTGAATCGTGATGCCGTCCTTGTGTATGCCCACCACATCCCATATGACGCTATCGAAGCCGACGAATCCACCATGTAGCTGATACTTATCTCTAAAGTTACGCGTCACTTCAATCTCTCGGCCGCACAGCTTGAATCGGCCCTTGGCCACGCGGTTTGCGACCCTACCGATGGTGGCTCCGAAGTAGGCCGGTTGGTTTCGATAGTAGCCGGCCACATCATCGTATCCCAGGCAGACATCAACCAACTTGCCATTGGAGTCAGGCACCTTCACAGCCTGTATTATCGCTCCCAGGGTTAGCACAGAAACTGACATTCCCTTCTCGGTGGTCATGGTGAAACGGCGTACATTGGCAGTGGATTGGGACATGGGGTTCACGGCTATGCCGAACAAGTCCTCGGTTACGCGCACCATGCTGCAATTTTTCCTGAAAATTTAGCCGAAAATTTTGATAAATCGAACCGAAACATAAATTTTGGCTTGTAAGTATAGAGTGGAGAAAGAGCAAAAACGTTTTTCCTACATATTCATGCCTACTTCCTTATGTTCCTTCCACACATAAATATATTTCGTTTGTTTGTACTTCAAGCATTATGCATTATCAATTGTGTTCTTAGACTGTTAGCTAATAAAAGTCCTTGGTATTATTTATAAATAAAAATTAAATTTCTTAATTATGTTGCTTATAACAGAACATTTCGAATTGAATTTATTGTCCCCATAGATCGCTTCTTCTTTTTAATTAACTGGTGCTGCCAATCTACTCAAATTATGAGCTGCTGGCTATTTAGATCTAGATACGGCTTTTTCCAGTTATAAAACGAGCCAAATAAATGTAGTTGGAAAATAGATTATCAAAAAAAAAAAAAAAAACTGTCGAAGTACGAAAAATACCTTCGTAAGTTTACTTTACTTTGAGAAAGAAGGATAGTACATACAATCACGAACTAGATAAAAAAAAATAAGCAAATAAACAAATAATGAAGTAATTTGAAGAAACCACAACTTGTTTTCTCTTATTTATTATTCAATTTTCCATTAAAATGGTGAGCTCTAAATGTATTGCAATGTATCAATCTGGTGCTGCGTCCGCCTACTTCTGTTTGGGACACGCCCCAAAACTATATACGACCTGGTGGTCATACAATTCGCCGGGATTTAGAACAATCGACGGAAATTCTGGATTGTTCATGGAATCGGGATACTTCTGGGTCTCCAAACAGAAAGATCCATGTTTCACATAATGTACGCCATCCTTGCCAATGACTGGATCATCGCCACGTGCTTCGTCCGGAAGATTGTTCGATGTGTAGAATTGGACACCTGGCTGATTGGTGAGAATCTCCATGTACCGACCACTGCCAGGATGCACTGCACGAGCCACTAATTGAACACGTCCGGGCGGCACGTCCACGCAGTAGTTACAATCGAAACCGCATATGGGACGATTGTAGACCTGTTCTATACGCTTTCCCAGGTTCGTCAAGTTGTTGAAATCGAATGGAGTGCACTGTACACATGTCAGTTTTCCGTTGGGTATTTGTTCTAAATCAGTGTCGACTATTTTGTCAGCTTTGATCATCAACATATGTTGATGGAGCGTCTCCTTGCCGGTACCATGACCGGCCAAATTGAAGTATGCGTGATTGGTAACATTGATGCATGTCATTGCCTTGCAACGTGCCTCGATCCGCATAGTAAAGTTGCCCATATCGTTCAGGGAGAAGTTGATATTGGTAGTCACCTCGCCAGGGTAACCCTCGTGTCCATCGGGCGAGACATGCTGCATTGTTACGCCGTCCTTCTGTACACAGACAACATCCCAAATGACGGTGTCGAAGCCAACAAACCCACCGTGTAGCTGGTACTTGTCATTAAAGTTGCGCGTCACCTCAATCTCTCGACCGCACAGCTTGAATTTACCGTTGGCTACCCGGTTTGCGACCCGTCCGATAGTTGCCCCGAAATAGGCCGGCTGGTTTTGGTAGTAGCCGACCACATCGTTGTAGCCCAGGCAGACATCTTCCACCTTGCCATTTGAGTCCGGTACTTTCACAGCCTGTATTATCGCTCCCAGGGTTAGCACAGAAACTGACATCCCCTTGTCGTTGGTCATTGTAAATCGGCGGATTTTGGCAGTGGAATCACACATGGGGTTCACGGCTATGCCGAACATGTCTTCGGTTACGCGCACCATGCTGAAACAAGACGGTTAAGAATTAACTGAAAATTTTTGATGAATTGATCCGAAAGGAAAATTTTTGGAATGTACGTTAAGGCCCCAAAAGATTGATAAATAATGTTTACATGCTATAAGTCAGTAAAATCAAAGCCAACTGGAATACAAAATCGAAAGCAACATTAGTATATGTATATATTCCAAGTATATATAATAAACACTAAATCGAAATCGAGTACCGAACCTAAATCCGAATTTAATTAAATGTAGAAGAAGCTCTTCTCCCAGAGAAAGTTGCGAGTAATGAATACATTTTTTAATATGCAGGCCTTTTTTCGATTTTGAACTCAATTAACTAATTCGATAACGAAATGGTTAAATCTCATTCAGTTTTACAAATCAATAGAGTAATTGCATTTCAAAATTATTGCCAAGAAGCTAGTGCCTAAATTTTGTTCCATTATCCAATGCTAAAACCGAAAAGCACAGCCAGTGTTCGATATTTTGAATTTTAACAAATCAAAATGCAGAATTATTTGGTCTAGTTCAACCCGAAGGGATTTTCATAAGTTGCTCAAAATATTGGGAAACGTTTTTATGTCCAATTGATGCTCCCATTTAATTTTTTAAAAGAATATATAAAGGTTATAAATATACTTGTATTTTCTCAAAAAATGATTGTAATAAGTAATAAGGCGCGCTTCCGTTCTATTTCGGTCCCAACATCTGTTCCGGACGCACCCAATCATTGAAGTCCTTCTCTGATATTCCCGCATTGATAGCCTCCTGTTTCAAAGTGGTGCCATTTTTGTGCGCTGTCTTGGCTATGAGAGCCGCCTTGTCGTATCCAACGTGTGGGTTAAGAGCCGTCACTAGCATCAAGGATTCGTTCATGATCTTGGCAATTTTTTCCTTGTTAGCCTTTATACCTTTGACGCAGTTATTTGTGAATGTTATGCTGCCATCGGCTGGGATTGAGAACAATATTATTAGTTAACTTGTTAGGCCGCAGGTTTCCTTACTACTTACTCAACAGCTTTATGGAACGCAGCACATTCGACACAATGAGTGGCTTAAAGGTGTTTAGTTCGAAGTGGCCATTGGAACCACCCACAGAGACGGCCACGTGATTGCCCATTACTTGGGCGCAGATCATGGTTATGGCCTCGCACTGCGTTGGATTAACCTTGCCCGGCATAATCGAACTTCCTGGCTCGTTTTCGGGCAAGCTGAGCTCACCAAGGCCACAACGTGGTCCGGAACCCAAGAAACGGATATCATTGGCAATTTTCATAATGCTGACAGCTATAGTGTTTAGTGCACCATGAACCTCCACCATGGCATCACGGGCAGCTAAGGCCTCGAAGAAATTTGGTGCTGTTACGAAAGGTAAGGACGTCAGCTGCGCGATACGCTGGGCACACTTCTCCGCGAAGCCCTTTCGTGTGTTCAGACCAGTGCCGACAGCTGTACCCCCCAGAGCTAATTGATAGACGTGTGGCATGACAGCATCAAGGCGCTCAAGACCGTTAGTGAGTTGTTGCGTGTAGCCACTAAATTCCTGGCCAAGGGTCAGAGGCACGGCATCTTGTGTGTGAGTTCGTCCAATTTTAATAATGTCCTTCCACTCCTGCGACTTGGCAGCAAGGGCATCTCGCAGCCCTGTGATTGCCGGCCTCAGACGCTTCATCAGTTCAATGCCAACTGAAATGTGTATCGCTGACGGAAATGTGTCATTCGAGCTCTGAGACTTATTTACATGATCGTTGGGGTGTACCGGATCTTTGGAGCCTAAGGTCCCACCGAGCAGTTCAATGGCACGATTACTTATAACTTCATTTACATTCATGTTGGTCTGAGTACCGGAGCCCGTTTGCCAAATCGGCAGAGGAAAGTGATTCTCATCGTAGAGCTTGCCCGAAATAACCTCGTCCGCAGCACTCGCTATAGCTGTGCTGATCTTGGCTTCCAAGCCAAACTCCCTATTCACTTCGGCGGCAGCCTTCTTCAATATACCCATGGCCTGCACTACGGCCTTCTATGTACGTAAAGGGTCGGTTAGATATGATCTGCTTCAATAACCCAACCACTACTTACTGGCATCCGCTCTTCTATGCCGCCAATCGGGAAATTCAGAGCGCAACGCATGGTCTGTGCTCCAAAATAGCGATCCACGGGCACCTCCATCGCGCCGAGCGTGTCTTTCTCAATGCGCGACATCTTTTAGCTTGGAACCTTCCTGGCGGCAACAATTCCTTCGTAACCAATAGCACTTTGGGGCTTTTAGCATAAAAAAGAATGTGTATGTTTATGTAAATGGGGACTGACAGTCTGGGATATGGCTACCAAAACACACAGATACTTGTGTATTGGACATGCTGAAGTGGGACTTTATTTTCTCAAACAAACTAAATAAATTCCATACTATATTGGACCGAGCATATCTTCTGGTCGCACCCATTCATCGAATCTCTCCTCGAAAATGCCCGCCTTGATGGCTTCCTCTCTCAGTGTCGTTCCATTTTTGTGAGCCGACTTTGCAATTACAGCCGCGGCATCGTAGCCAATGTGTGGGCCTAATGCCGTGACAAGCATCAGGGATTCGTTCATAATCTGTTTTATTTTAGCCGTGTTTGCTTGGATGCCCTCCAAGCAGTTGAAGCAGAAGGTATTTAGACCATCGCCCAAAAGTGTAATAGAACGCAACACATTCGAGACAATAAGCGGCATAAAGACGTTCAACTCAAAATGTCCGTTGGAACCACCCACAGTGACGGCGACCTGGTTCCCCATCACCTGAGCGCAAATCATGGTCATAGCCTCGCACTGTGTGGGATTTACCTTGCCCGGCATTATTGAACTACCGGGCTCGTTCTCGGGCAAACTGAGCTCACCGAGCCCGCAACGCGGTCCGGAACCCAAAAAGCGAATATCATTTGCCATCTTCATGGTACTAATGGCGATGGTGTTCAGTATGCCATGCACTTCCACCATAGCATCACGAGCGCCAAGAGCCTCAAAAAAGTTGGGGGCGCTGACAAAAGGCAAATTAGTTAGCTTGGAAATGCGCTCGGCACACTTTTTCGCGAAGCCTGCTCGGGTATTGAGACCGGTGCCTACGGCAGTCCCACCTAGAGCCAGCTGATAGAGACGAGGCAAAGTTGAGTCTAGACGTTTCAAGCTATTCAAAATCTGTTGCTTGTATCCGCTGAACTCCTGGCCTAGTGTCAATGGCACAGCATCCATTAAGTGAGTTCTCCCGATCTTGATGATGTCCTTCCAGTCTTTCTCCTTCTTTTCCAACGCCGCAATGACCACTTTAAGTGATGGGTAGAGGGTTTCCTTCAGCTCTATGGCCACAGCTATATTGATGGCCGATGGAAATGTGTCGTTTGAGCTTTGTGACATATTTACGTGGTCATTGGGATGAACAGGATCCTTGGTGCCCAACTGGCCACCAAGTAGTTCAATTGCACGATTGCTTATAACCTCGTTCACATTCATATTTGTCTGAGTACCGGATCCCGTTTGCCAAATTACCAGCGGAAAGTGATCTTCATCGTAGAGTTTTCCAGAAATCACATCGTCGGCAGCCTTTGAAATGATCGAGCTAATGGACTCGTTCAAGCCGAATTCTTTGTTAACCTCAGCTGCTGCCTTTTTCAATACTCCCATGGCCGTTATAATAGCACGCTGAGGATGTAGTAAGTAGGGACAGAAGGTTTGGAGAAAGTGATGAAAACTTACAGGCATGCGTTCCTCCATACCCCCAATGGGAAAGTTCATCAGCGAACGCATGGTCTGTGCGCCAAAATAGCGATCTAGCGGAACATTTACGGATCCCATGGTGTCGTGTTCCACGCGTGTGTCGGGCACAACAAGACGCGTGAGCTTGTAGATCAAGCAAAGCAATTCCTTTTGGTCGAACGACATGTTGTCTAGTTTAAAAATATATGAAATACGATTACCCGCCCCAAGATGATAATGAAAGCCAGACAACTGCGATCGGAATCGATCGAAATGATGTGACACTTTTGAGGAACAAGTGTTTAAATATATTTATTTGGTGTCGCATCAATATTTCCTCGACGCTTTCACTTTAACCTTATGAACATACTTGGGAAATCCGGATGGTTCAGGGAACGGGGATACTTATCTATTTGTGAACAGAAAGAGCTGTTTACAAACGTAAAGAGAAACTGATTTATTTTGCAGTGCGAGTGGCTTTTATTATTCTTGAATTTACTTAAATTTAAAATTTTGGCTGAGCTCACCAAGGCCACAACGTGGTCCGGAACCCAAGAAACGGATATCATTGGCAATTTTCATAATGCTGACAGCTATAGTGTTTAGTGCACCATGAACCTCCACCATGGCATCACGGGCAGCTAAGGCCTCGAAGAAATTGGGTGCTGTTTCGAAAGGTAAGCACGTCAGTTCCGCGAATCCCTCCGCGAATCCCTTTCGTGTGTTCAGACCAGTGCCGACAGCTGTACCCCCAAGAGCTAAAAGACAGCATCGGGGCGCTTGAGAGCGTTAGTGAGTTGTTGTGCGTATCCACTTAATTCCTGGCCTGGGGTCAGAGGCACGGCATCTTGCCGCTTCAGACTCAGACGCTTCATCAGTTCAATGCCAACTGAAATGTGTATTCGAGCTCTGAGACTTATTTACATGATCGTTGGGGTGTACAGGATCTTTGGAGCCTAAGGTCCCATCGAGCATTTCAATGGCACGATTACTTATAACTTCATTCACATTCATGTTGGTCTGAGTACCGGAGCCTGTTTGCCAAATCGGCAGAGGAAAGTGATTCTCATCGTAGAGCTTGCCCGAAATAACCTCGTCCGCTGCATTGGATATAGCTGTGCTGATCTTGGCATCCAAGCCAAACTCTTTATTCACTTCGGCGGCAGGCTTCTTCAATATACCCATGGCCTGCACTACGGCCTTCTATTAAGGTAAAGGGTCCCTAAGACAAGATGTGCTTCTGATTACTCAGCAGCTACTTACAACGCATAGTCTGGGCTCAAAAATAGCCTCCTCTGTGCGCGACATGACGAAATCTTTTAATTGAAACCCGTCTCGCTGCAGAAATTAAAAAAAAAAAAGATGTAGACTGACATGACAGTCTGGGATACAATTACCATAAACGTTTATTATAATTGTAAATTGGATATCAATGGCATCGTATTTATCCTCGAAAACGACCGCCCGGATGGCAGCCTCTTAAGTGTCGTTTGCAGTCGCTGGGTCTAAGCGAATGTGTTGAGCTTTGAGACATGTTTACATGGTCATTGCGATGATCCAGACGGACGGACATGTCGAGATCGATTCGGCTCGTTAAAAATATATATACTTTATGGGGTCGGAGATGGCTCCTTCTCCCTTTTAACCCTACAGATATAGGGTATAAAAATATACGATTACCCGTCGCTAGGTGATAATGAAAACCGGAAAGCTCCGATGAACAAGGATCGAAATGTTGTGTCACTTTTGAACTACACGTAAATAACTATATCCGATAATCTTGCAATTAAATTTTCCAGCTTTATTTATTTATATTTTTGGTGTCGCAACAACACTTCCATGACTCTTCGACTCTAAATTCGTATACAACCTCATGTACATACTTTTCGCCCGGACTCAGAAATACCGATGGGAACTCCGGATGGTTCATAGAATCGGGGTACTTCTCTGTTTCTAAACAGAAGGAGCCATGCTTCACATAATGTGTACAGCCCTTGCCAATTACAGGATTATCGCCACGCGACTCATCCGGCAAATTGTTGGCCGTATAGAATTGCACTCCCGGCTGATTGGTCCAGATTAATAGGGCGCGTCCGCTCGGAGGATGTAGTACCTTAGCCACCATATTTATTCCCTTTACGTCCGGATCACTGTTCACAACAAAACAATTGTCATAACCCTTAATTGGACGATCTTCGAATTGCTTGAGGCGATCGCCCATTAGAACAGGCAGGCGCAGATCGAATACTGTGTCGTCTACGGGCAGGAATTTCCCTGTTGGTATCTGCGCCTCATCCGTGTCGATAATCTTTTCAGAAATGATCTCCACAGTGTGCTCGGCCAAAGCTTTGGGGCCAGCTGCATGCCCAGCCAAATTAAAATAGGCATGGTTGGACAAATTCACTGCCGTCGGCTTATCCGTCGATGCTTCGAAAATCACCCCAAAACGGTTCTGATTGTCCAACCAGTAGTGTATTAGCGTGGTAAGTTTGCCCGGATAGCCCTCATCCCCATCCGGCGATACATGGCGAAAGGTTAGGCGATCTTCGGACTTGCGTACGACTTCCCAAATGACGCTATCAAATCCAATGAAACCGCCGTGCAGCTGAAACGTGTTCTGGAAGTTTTTGGTAACCTCAATTTTTTTGTCACCAATCATGAACTCGCCATTGGCTACACGATTCGCGACGCGACCCAAGGTGCCACCGAAGTAGGCAGCTCGTGTGGATATATAACTAGCTATATCATCAAAGCCGAGACAAACATCATCGACCTTCTGAAACGCATCTGGCATGCGTACACTTTGGATAATCGCGCCAAGCGTTAACACTGACACAGACATTTGGTTGGAGTTGGTTAGCGTATAACGACGCACCATTTCCGGGGCCTTGGTGTACGGATTGACGGCCAGTCCGAAGATTTCCTCCTCCAAAGTCACGGGCATGTTGTTGATAGTGTCTTTAGTGTAGTTGTCAGCTGGAAAATTTAATTGTTTTAGTTCATTTGACTTAAAGACAGATAATACCGAGTATATAGTTTGCTCACCTGTGCTGCGCGTCTTGTCAATTGATGCTTGCAGGCGATGTTCACAAAGTCAAAGAGGGCACACCGAACTGATTAATTTTGTAGTGCGAGCGGCTTTTATTGTTAGTAATGGCACGTATCCGATGGCTTAGTGTGAGTGGGCAGCGACGTCGACGGCGTCCACAGAGTTTATAATACATGGGTAGTAATTAGACGACAGCAAAATGAGCAATCGACCTGAGAGCGTCGCATGGAGATTCAAATGTCTGGCTACTGCCAATTTAGTTGGCGACGTAGCGCAAATCTCAATGCACTCGAGCATTGCCAATTGTTGTTTAGCTATTTTACTTAGTCTATCATATACATACATTTAAAGATCCACACTTACATATAAATCGCGCCCATTCTCTGCCAGCAGCGAAATGCTATCAGCTTTCTGTTATTTAACAGCCACAGCTCTTGACTTTTAACACTCTTGTTGTTTTTGTTTTTTACATTGTACATTTGCGAATGTATTATTTTCAGTATACTATATACAGCAGAAATAATATATTAAACTAGGTATTAAGAGTAGTACCTGCACCAGAAATTCATAACAAGCAACACTTGCTCAGTCTACAGATGGTAAGCCTTAGGCTGGCACTCAAATCCTTTTCTATCCAAAGTGCTCCTTCTTAGTATTTGTTTATATTGAATAGCCGTACGCCATGAAATTGCGGCAACTTTGGCAGCGTGACCACGACAAGCGATATAAAATTAGCGATAAAGTGCTCCGTACTATTTCGAGTATACAGACAAGTGAGCAGGAAGCTGCAAGGTGAATGTTCATAGGGATTATGGTGTCTGCAATTATCAAGTATCTATAGTACATACAGAACAATAGGCACGGCAGTTAGGAACTTTCGCGTTCCCGTCATCTGCACTCCATCGTCAATCTGCTCCCAGTGGGTCCAACGTCTAGAGCTATCATTTTCAATGCTCAACCAGGGTGCGCCTTTTATTATATGCAGAAAGTAAAGATGTGCCTGACAAATAAATATTATTATTGCATCGACATTTGTATATTAATTCCGTTAATGCGCAATACTAATATTTACCGCATTGTGCAGCAAATTGGTCACAGTCCAAGCCCAGGGAATACTTATGAACGGAACAGATAACAAAACTAAATGCACTCCAAGCACACCAAGAAAGTAAGTCAGCCATAGACCACGTGCACGTAGCCAAGAGCTATTTGGATTGGGTTCGCCATGACCGCCAGCAATTGATGTCATTTTAAGTGCGTTTTATAATCTCCGGTTTGAGTGATGACCGACTTTTGTTTATTTGCAGAAAATTAGCCGATCAGCTGTTTGAGTATGTAGTACTTTTCCACCCGATACCAGTACACGTAAAAAGTAACCACAAAGTTCTGTAGTGCTATCCAAAGGGCTGCGCAACACTGTGAATGGCAATTTTGCCGTTGCGGCGTTGGTTTCTTCAAGACCGAAAATTTGTTATTTTGTGGTTATAAACATGGTTTACAAAATCAATTATTGCTTAAATGTACTGATCTAATGTTAATGTGCAACAAAAAAGTGGAAGACAACAGTTTAGAACGGAATTAAGCGTGAAAAATGACTGCGAAAAATTATTGAAAAAAAGTGCCGCGCGTGTGTGTATATGCGCATAATTGCGGCTCCTTAGGGGTGACAACAATTCAAAGAATAGCGACAGATTGAGGCGCAAAAATGAGCGGAGCAAACGCAAGATCAGCGGCAAATGCTGGTATACCTAATATTGAGTATATATCTATTTGTATTTTTACTAATGGACTTTTACCACATAGCCGGCTTTGTCAGCCACATACCCAGCATTGAGGAGAAGAACAAGCAGATACAGCAGGAGACGATGATGGAGAAATTGCGTGCCAAGTATCGGAATAAGCCAAAAACCTATGAGGAAATAAAAAAGTCGGTGCGCATGTATTTCATAGAGAAGCATTATCCGCTTGATCCGCTGTGCAAGGCGACACTCCAGTCAGCGCTGGACAAGCTTCAGCATTATATTAAGGTCACCTCGCGGCATGGTTTGGTGGAGCGCTTGGAGAGCTTGTCACGTCAGTTGGGCTTGAAATTCGTTGAGGATCAGCAGTTGCTATTTATTTCGACAGACATGTTCTACGTAGAGATTCAGCTAGATGCCAGTGGCAATTTATCTGACGTTAAGGTGCACCACGAGTGCAAAATAGACCAGCAGTCGAGTGAGCTGGTAAATTGCCTTAAACGCGGCGATTTTGCCGACTTCACTGTACAGCTGGAGGGTCTGTCCTCGATCTATCAGTTAAATGCCGAGCCAAAGGTTAAGAAGAAGGCATTTGTGGCACTGCAAGCCATGGAGACGGACATATACAATCTATATCAAACTCAAAACCACAAGGGGGACAGCTATGACATTATGAGTAACTCAGCCGTTGGCTTGGTGCTCCAGCGTCGTGGTGGCCATCCCATGAAGCTCACCTACTTCTGCCCGCCCATACATTTGCCGGAAGGCGAGAATAAAGCGACATGCGACTTTACCATTGAGCAGGTGATGCGAAGTCCAAACGGATTGAGTGCTACAGTCAACCTAGAAGGCTCCTCGGCAAATAAACTACAAATAATGCCTATCGTGACCTTTTCCCGCGATGCCCAGACTGGCTTGGATATGCCTACATATGCGCCACTAACACAGAATAACTCGATGTTGATGCCAGCAACTTATGTGCTACGCCTAAACAAACCCATGCCCGTTTGCTATGAGACTTTGCGTGCTCTGGGTTTGCCACTGACGGGAGAGGCGGGCAGCGGCGTTGAAACGACGCCTGCGACAACGGTTATGAACTTAATTGTGCAAACAGCCTCGAGAAATGCCATTAAAAACACACAAAAGGGTCTCTATGTAAATCTGCCCAAGGAAACGCATTGCTACTTCTTTACTGATAATCGAAAGCTGCAGGGGACTATAATTTCATCTCTTCCATTCACGGAGCCATCGCAAGTGCCCAGAATTATAGCGTTCCTCAAAAAACAGGCACTCTTCTACACGTTGCTTTCGTCATGCGTACGCGAACAGCAGAAACAATATAATGGTGAGTTGATCCATTCCTTACAGGCACAGAAACTAATGGGCATGTCTTCCAGATATGGACAGCACTGTTATATTGGAAGTAACGGCCGTGTCGTTTAACCAAATAACCGTAGAATTGCAGCATCCCTACGAAGAGTCGTTGGCTACTGTGGATTTTCTGCTCGAGGAGGGTCAAGCCACATGTACCATTTATTGCTTGAGCAATAACTATGATCTGCTCTCGCAAAAGCTAACGCGCACGGTGCGGAAAGTGTTATCCATTCCAATGGTTATTTACAAATTGCTCAAGTGTTGGGACGAAGAACATCAGCAGAAATTGCAAGGAGTGATTGGCACTGGAGTGGGGGGTGGCGGCGGTAGCGCAGGTTTTGGAAACAACAGCAGCAATACTGGCGGTTCAATGCCCAACACTGGCGGCAATAGCTTCGGCCAGTTTGGTATGGAAGCCAGTTCTGGAGAAGGCGGTGGCACTTTTACGAGTATAAGTAGCCTTAAAATGGACTCCAAGGTGCGTTCGCTGGCTGATTCATTTGCCGCATCCACCTCCGCCGCAGCAGCCATAGCAGGTCTGATTAATTTGAAGCGTGAAACGGATCCTCATGCAACAGCTGGCGCATCGGGAGCCACGCCGCCGGTGTCTAAAATGGACCTCAATGTGCCAACTGGGGCACAGGCTGCGGGGCAGGGCAAAAGTAGCGACATTGAGATAGCGGACAAATACAAAAATATCTGGAAGGATAAAACACCTAATTTAAAACACTGTGTCAGCATTACGCCCATTCCAGGCGATGGAAAACTGCAATCTCAGTCGCAGGGACAGCAACAACAGGTGCCCAACGCCATGGATGTAACACGCACGGGTGGCATTGAAATCATACCATTGAATGCGCAGGCGAGCAACAACAGTGCAGCAAGTTCCAATGCAGCCGCTACTACTATCACCATTACGCCGATAACGGGTAAAGAGACTTCCTCTAAGGAGAAAAAATCTGGTAGCAGTAGTAGCGGTTCCTCAAGTGTGGGGGGCAGTAGCAGCGGCGCCACAAAGCGACCACACGATGGCGGTGGCAGCAGCAGTGTCAGCGGTTCCAGCACAGGCTCGTCAGAGCAAAAGGAGAAGAAGCGAAAAAAGAAACGAGATGATTCTCCTATGGGCCCGCCCGAGAAGGTGTATTCGCGTCAAAACTCACCTGCTGCCGGCAGCGATCCCACCTCAGCTAGTGGTGTAGTTCGCAAGTTTTCTTCGCCCTCATCCTCGCCTAAGGGTGGCGGCGGCGGCAGCAGTTCTGCCAGCTGTGCTGGTCTTATGGCCGGAGTACCACCTGGCACCTCACTCTCAGCACGACCCAGCCCCAAGCACTCACCGGTGTACAGCAGTCCCAAGCACAATACTGCCTCGAATAGTCCCAAATCTCCATTTGGAACGCACTCACCCAAGCACGGCTCCTCGGGGAAGCCGAGCATGTCCACCTTAAAAAGCGCTACAGCAGCCACTAGTCTCAGTCCCAAGGGTGAGAAGCCAGGCAGTGGTGGAACGGCAGGTGTACCTTCTAGTTCGACGGCTACGTCTGGTGGCAACAGCGGCTCTATGGTGCGTTCATTTGCCAGTGTGGGCGCCCCTGTGCCGCCTTTGGCTAGCAGTGTTGGTGGCGGTGTTAAACGCGACAAGGATAAATCGGGTGGCAGCTCCGCAAGCACGGGATCAGTTTCGAATGTGGTTAATGCCGCTTCTAATGTCGCAGGCGTATCGCCAGCCACTGCAGCCAGCGTTGTTGCTGCAGTGGCAGCGGCAGCTGCCCTTAAGAATTCACAACAGCAGCAACAACAGCAGCAGCAACAACACCAACAACAGCAACTAAAATCTTCAGTGGCCAGTCTATCGCATTTGGCGGCGGGCGGTAATTTGAACGACTATGCTGTCGCGGCAGGTGCCGCTGCAGCTGCCTTGGAGTTAAGCGCTTTGCGCAAGGGCATGGCAGGAGGTGCGGTAAGTCCGTTTTCATAATGCGTAGCTCTCGCTCTTGGCCACCTCCTACATGTAGCCCTTAGATTGTAGCTCTAGAATTTTTAACCCGTAGTTAACTTTTATTTGTGTGCGTGTGTGTGCGTGTGTATAGGTGCATGGAGAGTACACCCTTCACTTTGGCTCGACCATCTAACCAACCAGCCTATTGCGATAACATCATGAAATGGTTAAATGCACTCCAAAACAGCAACTCTAAATAAATTGTACGCTAAATTTATGCACTTTGTTCTGATGAAATAACTTGTTAACTGATTTAAACTGATTTTCTGCAGTAGTCATGATTTTTACTATTATTCTTATTATTTTTGTTCTGTATTTTCTGTTTGATTGTAAATACAATATATAATTATGTACATTATGCACTTATGCCCTCTGCCTGTTTTATTTATTTATTATTAATATAAGCAACGTTGGCCCTTTCTCGCATGCACATTTATTAAAATTTTTGGTCAAGGGGTGTGTCTCATTGGTGTCGGTGTCAGGATTTTTTCTTGACTTTCCTTGTCTCTTTGCCAGTCGTTGAAGAAAGTTCAATTTCGATTATGATTGCATGTCTGGCCAAGTCCTGTGAATCTACCTGATGTTAAATCTTCAATACAATTTAATAATTTTGTTTCTGTATCAATTTTCACTTGGTTCAAAGAATTGTTGGAGATGTCTCTTCAAATTTTCATCTGAATATCCCTCCATTTTTGGTAAAATGGAATATTATGGCATTTTTTTCGGTTTGTTCTTTATACTGGAACGTACTGTACCGTTTCGATTAAACAATAGTTTTGAATTTTTCCTTGTTTAGTTTCGGCTCGATTCGCTGATTTGCTATAGATAATTTGATGAGCTCCCTGTGAGTTCGCATTACCTTTCCATTATTATTTTCTCACCTTTATGTGATTTCAAACATTTTAACAACACAGACTGTAAATAGTCCCAACAGCGGATTACGGTATGATATGTAGGCTAAGAGCAATATTTGGTAGTTAATTAATTAATTAATCAGCATTGTTAGCACAAAACGTAATAACATCTAATACATTCACGATTTCTAGATTAAACAATGCATAGTTTTAGCTAAATTAATGAATTGTAAATATTGCGAATGGATAACTAAAAACTAATACAATTAAATTCAAACCGACTGCATAGCTGCAAAACATGCGTTCGTAAACACGGATGGTTGGGGATATTTTATTGTTACTACTAAACTCAAAAAACTCATCTTTCATTCCTCACTGTTGGCGGCATATGCTGAACATATTTTGACAAGGGTCCTGTTGGTCAGACCTAGGTTCGATGACATCCAACTTTTACAAAAGAACTTTACAAGATTGAAAAGGCGACTAGACATATTCTGTGCATCGTTTTTGCTTCTACTATTATTAACAATTTAAATTGCCAATAAAGTCGTATTTCTTTTGGCATCTGTTGATTTTGTAAGATGTCTGGTTTAGTATCGGGTTGGAGTAAAAAAACCATCACCGTAATAGAATGACATTCCTACAATTGGTACTGGATTCACATTTTTTGTTATCATTTCATGTTTCGATTTGTCATTAACATACAATCAATCAATCATTTCGGTTTTCAATTGCCATTCAAATTTTTCTTGATTTTAGTTCGAGCTGAGAGATTTTCTTTAATTATTTTCGGTACCATTTATGAAGCTTCTGCAGATAGGGCTGTTAATTTATTTGTATTTTATACAATATTCTTATCTACATTTGAAAAATCCTCTAAATGCATTGCTGCCATATATTTGTAAATACATTCTAAGTAATTAAAACTAATATAAACTCTATACTAAAATTTAGTTGATTGTTAAATAACAAACTTCTTCGAGAATAACTTTACAAGACTACACAAATTTGTGCGCAAATTGTTTGCCATTCTAACCCTGAGCGAGCTTTTGCCAAGCCTCTTTTCTTGGTACGAGTACGGGGGTGTGTGCGTGTTTGTACGTGTGTGTGTAATGTGTATGATATAATGACTAATTACTAACGTGTCTACCCTCTTTCTCTTCCCCCCTTCTCTCTCCCGCACACATGCTGTTAATGCTGTATATTTTGATAATTTTACATATTATTCTCGACGCTGCCTTAACTGTGGCTATGATTTCTGATTTTGATTTTAATTTTGGTTTAATCGTTTGTCATCAACTGCCTCGTTGTTTTTTCGCACTTCCACACAAACACAAAAAAACACACGCTTACTTTGTCAGGTTAGTTTGATGACGTCGACGGCAGCTTTGGCAGCACAAACAACAACAATAACAACAACAGCAGTGCCAGCAGCAACAACAGCAGCAGCAACAGCAACAATGTCGGCGTCAGCAGCAACATCAATAGCAACAACAATGCCACTGGGAACAGCGGCCTCATCAATGCTGGCAACATCAACATCATTAGCAGCGGGAGCGGTGTCGGGGTCGGGGTCGGCGTCGGTGTCGTCAGCAACAGCAGCAGCGGGAGCAGCAACAACAGCAGCAATGCAAATGTCCCAACAGCCAGCAGTAGTGCCACATAGTAGCACAAGCGCAGGCGGCGGATTGGTCACTAGTGGCTGCACCGAAGCCGCCGGCAACATCGGCAGCAGCAGCGCTCAATCAACGGAATATATGGTGAAGACGAGCAGTCAGGAGGGCCTAAAGCTGACCATAAATAAGACGAGCAATAGTGGTAGTGGAGCTGGTGGTGGTATTGGAGGTGGCAATAACAACAATAACAATAAGAGCGGGGGCGCTGGACATGCGTCCAGTGGTGGCGCCAGTAAGACGAAGAGCAGCAGTGGTTCGACCACTAGCAGCCTTAAGAAACAGCACACTGGCTTAAAACCGGGAGTGAACAGTGGTCCAGCTTCAAAAAAAGCGTCGGGCAATTCCTCTTCCTCCTCTTCATCGTCATCATCATCCAGCACCAAGCATGTATTTCAAAAGGCCAACTCGTCCGGCAATTTAAGCAATAAGTTGAGCACCACCGGCGGTGGCGTGCCTCTAACCAAGAGCAATAGCACTAATTCATTTGGGTCGGAGCATGCGCCACCACGTCGTCGACCTAGCGTTGGGGGTTTGGCCATTGGTGGCGTGCGAAAGGGCAGCAGCTCGTCGGCAGCCAGCTCGGGTGCCGTGTCTCCGGCGGCATTAAGCGGTTCCATGTCACAGCCGCCGCCGCGCTTCGACCATCACACCGATATGATGACCATACTGCAATATGCATCACCTAGCATGGCCGCCAGCATGGAGGGTTTCATCAAGGGCCTGCACAACAAATTCCAAATACCCAAATTGTCGCAGCGTGGCAGCGCAGGCGGTGGTGGCACCACAACTGGGCGCACAGAAGCAGCTGCGGGCACTCCACTAACATCTCAGGAGAGCCACAGGGCAACGGAGCCACCACAGGTACCGAGCGCTAGCGATATAGCCGCAATGGCTGCCACTTTGGCGGCCACACCTTCAACCAGTGGGAGTGGGAGTGGAATTGGCATCTCAATGACATCACAGAAGCCACCACCACCACCCGCAAGCGCGTCCGATATGTTGCTCAATTTGACGAGCGGTGCCGTTGCCAACGATGGCATCGATGAGGAACTGCTGGCCAGTTTGGCTGGCGAATGACAGTCTCTTCGTGCTGCTCTATGCGGCTACCAGCGCCTGGCAGTATGCTATAGTTAATTATTTTAGTGCTAATATACCCGGCCTCCGCGGCGCTCTGCATTTGTTCACCCATTTAGAAATTTACCTACATATATCCTCACTATATACTTATTTATATACATAATTATAAATAATAAGGACTGTTCGCTTAGTTGAGTTTCCTATACTTTTGCCTTTTTGAATCTTTCGGAAACAACACAAATTCTTTGGTACAAAAACTGAAAATCGAAAGTCGGCAGAATTATTGCGCGTTGTTTGTTCTTTGAAATCAGCAGTAAGCCTGAAATTTCGGTTTAACATGGCTGAAATGATGATATTAATTTAATATATTTACGGAATTGTAAAGTATTGTTATAAGATACATTAATATGTAATATATACATTTAAAACTAATCACAAAAAAGGCAATATTCAATGGCGGCATCTTCTTGTATACCCTGTACCCGAAGCTTCCATTTTACTAAGCGCATCGATATAGACATGAATGTCGCTTTGTCCGTCTACCTATACCCTGTACCCTGTACTTTTGAGCTGTGACAGCTATGGAGACCAAACTTAATACAAGTATGTACACTCCCCTCTTATCCATATGCACACCAAGGTTATTACAAACCATACACATTTTTTACCTAAGTAGTACCTTAAACAAAGTTGGTATTTATTTATGAAGAGTCACCATATTCTAGAGTTTTATAGCTTTGTGAGATGGGAAGATTACAGGGTATACGAGAGTCGGGCGCACCCGACTCTAACCTTCTACTCATTGACTTTGGGACCACAGTGCTAAGCTACTGAAACTGAACAATGTTGCGTGGTTAAGTTTTGTTAATAATCTGTATGTCTACATATCTGGGAGTACTTACCTTAAATACTCGTTCATTGCTACAATATACGCCTAACTATCAAGTTAGGAGTTACATAGGCGCGTTAGCATTTATTATAAATATAATCATGTTTGACAAATGCTGGATATTCATCCTGATATTCTTAATAATAATTTATTTAATACTAACTTCGGATAATAATATGATATCCCAATCTTTGTCAGTTTAGCAATTTATGTGCAAATTGCATTTATCATCGACTTCCATATCCTGTAACATTTTTATTTGGCCATTCCGACATGTCAATCAAATTAATTGAGCTGCAATGTTTTAATAAAGATACGCGTTTCGAAATCAAACAAAAAATATGTCGGAGCAATGAGGCAAGCTGCCGAATTTTTTGAGATGTGTGGAAATGTGGAAGTCATCCAACCTGAAACGGAAGTTCAATGTCAGCCTTTCAGATACATATGTATGTATGTGTGTGCTGCTGATGAGGAAGACATCGACAGTCACATCAACATCAAAACGAATGATGTGGCTGCCACATAGCAACAACTTTGTTAACTTCGTTATGGCTTCGGCTCCAGTTACCGGCTGCCAAGGAAGGAACGAGTGTGCGTCATCTTTTGTTTCCGTTTTGTTTTCTGGCTGCTGATGTAGCCGCAGGCTGTGCCGGAAGCGACCGAATTACTGCGGCAAATTTCATAACTTACACACAAGCTGCCTTAATAAAATTGTCGGCCAGTTGACTAGACTGTGCACATATGATTCTGCAGTAGAAATTCGTTAAAAAGAAATCGCGCGAAATTTTATTTTCCACTTCGTTTCAGTTTCTTGATTTTCTTACCAAACAACATTATACTTTCCCTCTTATTTGTAAGAACTATTTGCATCTGTATTATTTAATAACGTAGGTCGCAAACAAATTAGGGATTCCTAGGGCTTAAAGATACATGGAATAAATTAAAAACAACACAATTTTAGAAAATAAACGTTTTTGAAAAAGTACTTTGCTTACTGTAAGTGGCAATAACTTCTATGTTTGCCAAACGTTTTTCATCAAATGTTACTAACTTCATTCTCAATGCCTTTGCCTCGACTACAGAAGTACGAAAAAGCCTTTAAATATTTGGTTCTTGGTAATATTTTTGTCTCAAATTTAATTGCCTTTTCTCTATGGATGCTGTGACTTAAAAGCTGTTCTCTGGAAAGCGTAAAGCTAAAAACAAGCTATTTTAAAGAATATGAAGTCCATTGGTATTCGAAGATATTTTTTACAATTTTCCATCTCCTTTCTAAAAGTCTTTATATTTTTACAACTTTCTTAAAAGTAATTTTAAATTCAATTTCAATGTAAAGTTTAAAGCTATTACAAGCTGGTGATATTATTAATGAGCTTTGAAGGGATCTTTCTAAGCCGAAGTTACTACTCTTAACATTTTTCCTCCATTTATTTCGATATGCAACCCAACAATATCTTTTTATATCCTTCACACTGTCATCCAAGGGCGTAGGAAGGGGGGCTGTTGCCCCAAACCCCTAGGAAAAATTTTGCCATATAAAGTCAACCACACGTTCATTATTATGACGCAATATTTTTCCCTATAATGGATCTGAGTTGGATTTGTTGAAGTTTTGCATTGATCATATGCATAACTTATTTTTTAAATGCATCGTGCATTATTTAATCAAAATTTTAATGTTTTGGCGCCCCTTTGGTAAAAGCTGCCTACGCCCTTGCTGTCATCACTTACAATACCAAGTAATTCTTGGAACCGTTTCTATGTGGTACAAGTATAGTCTGATATTTTGAATATCGAAAGGTTTGCTTGTTATACTTTATTGACGATGCGTTTTTTTTTTGCCATACGACTGCCTATTTAAAATACGTGAAAACATATCTTAGATGTAACATTAAAAGCTAAGTATCTCATCGAAATATCTGGGGGAAATATTGATTTTTGATAAATATTATATATATTTAATCATCTACAAGTATATAGTATATATTTTACCCAACGTGGAATTGGTGAAAAGGTCTATGCAAGTAAAAGTGTGGCTATATTTAAGTGATATTTCATTATTTCGATCATTTTGATCGAAAACCGTACTACGTGCAATTGGTCAATCTTAAAAATAGTGATTAAAACATTAGTGGATTGGGCTGGTGATGATCATTTAGGTAGCCATAACTACTAGTGGTCTTTATTTCTTAATTTGTGTTTTACTTTCAAAACAAATCAAAATTATACGGGAGGTTATCAAATGTAAAATATGAAGCTGAAAATTACCTGCAATCCTATGACGAACAAATTCTTTAAATAGAAGTTCCACTGTACTTGTGGCTGTCTCTTTTTTTACACCCATACATGTAACGTAACTGTCGCCTATGTGGGCCACCATTTGATTTATGTATACGACCTTATAGCATTTTCAAAATTTAATTTTCATGTTCAATTGTACGGCACTGACGTGCGGCCTGACAGTCGACTCATAGAGAAGCCCAATCCCCAGTACCCCACACAAAAACATAAAAAAGAAAGAAAGAAGGAAAAAAACTTTACCGCATTTCCAATTTAATGAACCCCCGTCGAGTATGCGATGCAAAGACTTGCCACTTACCAGCTGGCTGTCGTTCGATTCGGGACAATTTTTTACACTTCAATTAGCCGAAAAAGCCCGGAATCAGGCATCAGGGTTAGGCCACAAATCAAATTTCTCTAACCTCCCGTCGCGTGGCGTCGCCAGTGGCTAATTTAACTTAATTAGCTCAATCATGTGCATGATTTCAGAAAGCGCGCCATGCCTTGGCCTCGACTCGCAACATGGCTGCCGTGATTGAGTTTAGTGGCAGGAAAAAAAAATGGCCTTAAAGCTGCCGGAGCACGTATTGGTTTTACATTAAGCCTCGCCGTTAACCGACTTCCTTTTGTGCGCCGCTCGGCTAAATGAAAGCAGAATCCTAGCAGCCGGAAAACCGAATTTACATAGAATATCGACAGATTATCGCATAAAGTCGCTTATGGTGCCTGCTGCCCGTGCAACTGCCGCAAAATGCACAGACAGCACTTCTAATGTGCAGCATAAGAGGGACTCAGGAAGCGCTTCATGCCCCTACACTCGAAAAAAGTTGTATGCACAACACTTGGATAATATTTGCCCTCACTCTATACACAAACTCGTATGCTAACAAAACTTTTGCCCTCGACCAGCCTGGCAACGTGTCGTGTGCTCCGTTTCCAGCTTCAGCTCTTCTGTCTTCGTGCATCCTTGTGGAGTCTGTTTTGCTTGACTTTGGAGCACCGTGGTCGGATGTTTGTGTTTGTCTACCGTTTGGTAGTGGGTTAACGGGCGATTACACAAAGTTATAATAAACATCATATGGAGTGGAGCAAGCAAATAGAGCAATTTTGTCGTGGATATGCACACAAGAGGATGCGAATGAACTGTGAAGAACTCTGACATTAGCTCTACTGTTTCTTGTCTACGATGGGTGGGCCTTATTTTCCATTTACTTTGTATGGATATCTTCCGAAGTTAGGAGATAAATCAGGTGTCTTATATTCTTAAATCTACAGTTCAGACATTTCATAGTTCGGAAAATGCCTTAATTCCAAAATTAATTTCATACTTATTGTAGGCCCTTTTGAAACAAAGATTGATTGATTAATGATTGATTAGAATGGCAGGTCAGTTCGTTTATTGGAATGCAGGAAAATAAAAAAATATCGAAAGATGATTACAAGTATTAAGCTTCACATGTTTAAATAGAGCATGGTCACTATCGATAGTAGAGTCCATCGATGTTTTCGATAGTTTTGTATGAATCCATCGACACTATCGATAGTTCCATCGAAGTTTGAATGCAATAAAAAGAATTAAAGAAAAACATTATAATGTATTTAAAGTCACGATCCTATACAATGCTCAAAGGCTGCACATCCAAGGCGATCATACGCATCAGAGCTTTAACCATAATTATTTAATGAGAAGATAAATTTTTGTTAGTGGGTTGAACAAGCGTATTTTGTTGTAAAGGCATTTTTTCCTTAAAATGTTTCCACAATGTTTCTCTATTTGCTGTGGCGCTTTCAATTTTGGGTTCAAAGACTTTTTCCTAAAAAAAAGAAGAAGGAAAACACACATTTTATTAACACAGGACTTACTCATGTGAAACATGTTAACTTTCACTTTTGAGAAATTTGTCCACTTTTTTTCCAACTCCAGCCGTAGCCAACACCACCAATCGACTTCCAGAAATATTATATTTATGGTATTTATATAAATATTAATAAATAAAAATTGCCTTTACCAATTTGCACTATTCCTTTTAACGTGCAGTTCTACGAGCGAACTATTGTTGGTGGCCATAATTCCATCGATAGTTGCAAAAATTTAAAACTATCGATAGTGCTATCGATATTGCTATGCTCTATCAGTATCGAGTTGATATTATGTATTCTTTGTTCAATCATTTGATAAAGACTAAGCTAGGTAGCGGTTTGTTGAAATAACGAGTTAGTGCGAAATTAATAGATGC